GACAGGGAGTGTCCAGTGTCCTGTTCCTGTTCCAAGACTGAGTGCCACATCTCAGACTTCTCTCCGGGGCCCCTGCCTTACCTGTCACCTGCAAATTCAGCATCTTGTCTTGGTAATTATATTTCACACTTCCTCTCTCCATTCGGAAGATGTATATTCCTGTGTCACTCCTCCTGGCATCTCTGATGTGCAGGGAACAGTTGTTGTTCCTGGAGTCCGGGAGGAGGAAACGGCCTTGGGTTTCTCCCTTTGTTGGTTTATTTGGGTCATTCGAAGCCACAGGTAGATTGTGCCATATGCTGTCCTCTTTCCGGTACCAGTAGGTGTAGAGTTCACTAGAGGAAGACCATGAACTCCAGGGGTAGGAGAAGGAGCAGGGCACGTGGACGCACAGACCCTCCTGCACCGTCACGGATTCCTGCACTCGGAGCTCGAAGCCTGGCTGCTCCTCCAGAGATTCTGGGAGGGGGACACAGAGGCTCAGAGGCAGCCCCATCCCTCTCCCACTTCCTCAACCCCCCTCCCTGGGCCCACTCACCTCCCCTCCTCGGGCCCACTCACCTCCCCACAGCAGGAGCAGCAGCAACAGGGGCACCATGTCTGCCTCTCTCAGCACAGAGCAGGTCCGCGTCCCTGTGTCAGGGAGCAAAGTGCCAGCTCTGGGGTGGGGCTGAGGATGCCCCAACAGGAAGCCCAGGGGGAGAGACTGTGGATAGTCCTGGAAAGGGAACTTCGCCTACACAGTAGTTGGGGGGTGTGGTGGCTGAGAAATCTTCCTATCTCCCCTCCCCCCTCCTGAGCCTGCAGGTAAATATACTGAGGCCCCCAGAGGTTGAGAGGCATGTCCAGATGTGAATCTGAAAGTGACTCCCTTACAGATGAGGTGTAAGTCGAGAGGGTGGTCCCCCAGGGGGCCACCGTGGTCATCACTGGTCCTGGTGACTCAGGGGATCCACCCTCCAGCTGAAACCATTGTGTAAAAGGGTAATTTTAAAATTTCTTCACATCACTCAAATGCTGAAAGAAGGAATTTAGACTCAACTCTCATGGAGGGTGGAACCCAGGGGAAAAGCTGATGCCTTTTGGGGCACACGGGAAGCACAAATGTGGGTCTCCCAGGGTCTGAGGGACAGCGACAGCGCACAGGCCCCATCAGAACGGGATGTGTGAAGGCAGATCGCACCCCTTCAGGGGGAGTCTCAGAGGTTGGACCTCCTCATGACAGCAAATTTGCCACCTTACAGCTCAGGAAGCTCCACCTTCAGGGCCCCTCAATGTGCTCAGTCCCTTTTCAAAGCCCAGCAGGGGCTCGAGTGATGTGTGGACATAACCTGC